AGTCCTTCGTTACCAACGGAAAGTGATCTCTGGCGGAGCATTCTAGCCTTCTACGTGAACGGGGGGCCGTTAGTTACTTTTCAAGGTTCATTGTCTCTCTCTCTCTCTCTGTGTGTGTTACAAAGGCATGATCCTTCATCATCGTCAGACACAGCATAAAAAAATTGCACTCGTACATATCTTGCAAGTATGTAGCGGGTATGACGCTTCACCGAAGAATGACGAATATACATGTCCCAGACCCGGAGTATAATGACAGGACTGCGGACTCCGCCGCCACTAAACGCGTTGCGCGTGACAAACTGTGCAATGCGGAATCGGGCGTTTTAGCTCATTCCTTTGCTCTCTCTTCGCTCTTTTCCACACTTTCGCGCAAGTTTTTTCCTTACTTTGACTGGATGGATGGATGGATGGATATGGCTGTACCCTTTAGATCGGGCGGTGGCTAGCGCCACCAAGCCGTAATACTTAATGAACCAAAAACTAGAGTTTTTTTCTTTTAATAAGTGAGGTTGAGGATTCATACTTTGCAGTGAAGCGTTTATTTTCACTCGTGCCTTGACTTTAGCCACCAATCATATAACCCCCTTCTAGTTAATTCTACCCGCTTAACCCTTTCGGCCCTGGCGGTGTCAATTGACACCACCACACAAATTTTGCCCTAGTATCTCGGAAACGTAACCAATACTGCTCATTCTTGGGGGCGTAGTTCTTCAATGATTTCCACTGCAATGGACATCAATATTGCGGCACGTTTGTGGAGGTAGCAGCCACAAAGAAGAAGCGTGACCGAGGTCTTCCGTGAAGCCGAGGCGCGTAAGTTGAGGCGGGTAAGCGCCATTTTCGGAACGACGTACCGAAGCTGTTTCAGTGAGTATTAGGCTGAAAAGCAAGACGTTGGTTTCCATTTTGTGTACACCATTGATTGGCAGAAAAAAATAAGCCACTTTTTTCATTTTCTAATCACAGGGGCCTAATTACTTAATTTGATGCCACGTTAATTAATTCGAAAATGCTTGTACCAGTGGCTCATTTTTTTGTTTTTGGTCTTCTGAGGTCCTAACTACTAGAAAAACGCGCACAAAAAGTGTATCTGACCAAAATAAAAAATCCAGGGCTGAAAGGGTTAAAGTCTATTTTGCCCTCCCTGTCCCTAAACCCAACTGCTTTGAAAAACTCTGCGCCATCATCCTGAACAATAGGGCGAAGCCCTTTACAGAACATTATCAAGTGTTCGGCAGTTTCTTCTTCCTCTCCACACGCACTGCATACCGTGTCTACCCCTTCGTATTTGGCCCGATATGTCTTCGTTCGCAATACTCCCGTCCTGGCCTCAAAAAGTAGAGAACTACCCCGAGTATTATCATAGATCCTTTCCTTGGCAATTTCCTGCTTAAAAATTCGATAGAACTCTAGTGCGGACTTCTTAATCATGCTAATTCTCCACATATCGGTATCAGCTTCCTTCACCTTCTTCTTAACCAATAATTATTTTTGGTTTGGCCCCCTGCTGTTTTTTAAGTATTTACCAGTCAATTTTCTGGTTCGCTTCCTCCATTTTGTATCGACATTCTTCATGCACAAGTAGCTGAATACCTTCCTAGCCCAACGCTCCTCCCCCATTTCTCTCAATCGCTTCTCAAATTTTATCTTGCTGCTAGCTTCCCTGCCCTTAAATGATGTCAATCCCATATCACTTTGTACTCCCTGATTCTCGTCTCATTTCTTAGGGAATTTAGATGGTTCCAAAATTTCGCAGCTGCCTTTCTATCTTTCGTATGTACTTCTGCCAGCCACTGAGCTTCCTTTCTTCTGATCTTTTCATTGATCAGAAGGGATGCATCCCTTCTACAGCCTAGAAAGGTTTCCAATTTTCTTTCAACTTCATCTGTCGGTTCACCCCGCTGCTTAGCATGTCTGTGATCCCTAGAAGCTTCGTGACGTTTTCCTATGGCTCTCTTAACTTCCCCATCCCACCAACTTTTGGGTTAGTGTCTTCTTTCGGGGTGACTTGTCACGCGTCTTAGCAAGCTCTAGCTCAAACAGTCTAATTAGATTCGTCTATGTCCACACTGTTTTATTATCCTCCATGATTTCTTTCTCAATTTGTTTAGTGGCTATTTCTTTTTGCCTTTCTGGATAAAAATTTTCCTCTATTTACTCATCTTGTCTCCTTCCCACTTTCACTGCTCTTCCAAAACTTAGCTTGATACGTTTGTGATCACAACCCAGACTTCTGGAGCCACCTTCATCTATGTGCATTCCCCTGAGCTTATCATACATCCTATGTGGCATCAGTGCGTAATCTATCGTCTACTGCAGCCTTCCTACCTCCCTTGTTATTTGCCCTTCACACTTCTCGGTACTGTTGCAAATGATAAAATCAAGCCTTTCACACATATCCATGATCATTTTGCCTGTCGGGTCGGTGTACCCATCTATATCTTCTATGTGCCCATTCATATCTCCTAGTATAATTATCTCGCACTCTCCTCCTAACTCCCGAATGTCATTTGATATACACTCTACCATTGTCTGGTTTTCCTCTCTGGCCTTTGCTCCCATCCACAAGTACACGAAACCAAGGAGTGTCATTTGCCCTGCCACTTTCCCTTTCAGCCATAAATGTTCCTTGCACTCCTGCTTGACCCTTTGCCAGTCTGTACTTTTATGAATGAATGCCCCAATACCACCCCCCCTTTCTGCTGCATTCTGTTCTATTACAATATTCCCACGCGTAGTCTGAATTGTTAGGAGGTTGTTCTATGTCCCTGAGATGTGTTTCTACAAAACCGTATACCATAGGCCTCTCCTCTCTTCGCCGTTCTTCTATCTCTTCCCACTTTAGCCTGTTCCTACCACCCTGCATATTAATATACCTTATGTCTGAATTGGCTCGGCGCTCGTGGCTACGTCTATTTCTGCCCCGGACTCTACCTATCTTAGATACTGGCGCCACTTTGGAATCGCATCTGTTCATACCACCTGTCAAAGAGTCTCCCTGGTTGTTTTCCTCGTTACTAGCTATTCTGCACCCCGAAGTGCCCCCTTGCCTCCCAAAAAAGCTACTGCGCGTCCTACAAGTCGCCCACCCACCTCATGACCTAGCTGCCAATCGAAGTGAATTCTGTCTCGTTGAAAACCACCCATCCAGGCACGTCTCTGTTTATTTCCAACACCTCAAAGCCTTTCTCTCGACTCATCCGCCATATCTCTTGCTTTGCGTTGACAACCGCTCTTTGCAGGTTGCTATCACGCACTGGTACCACCGGTATCGTGCATATCACTACCTGTACCTGAGGAGAAGTGGCGCGCATGTCATCGACGCCTTTCGCCAGTGTGGTTGCTAGTCCTGCTGTATCTTCATTTAAGACATCGTTTAAACCACCTGAAATTATCACGAGGTTTCGTCTATCAGCTGTAGTTTTGAGTTTTGCGCTCGCTTGCCTCATGACTGCTTCCAGCTTGCGTCCTGGGAATGCCCCTACTGCAACCCTCTTGTCCCCTCCCAGCCCCACCACTACTTCGCTGAAACGGGGCTTTGCGACAATTGAACCGGCTGAACCTGTTTTTTTCCAAACTTGCTTTCTCTTTCTTCTCCGCCCTTCTGGTTGCCGGTTCCCTACTGTTCTCTCCGTAGGCCGCTCCTCTGTTCACCTTGGCTAGTGCTTCCTCGGCGGACTTCAGCCTTTCTCGCATTGCCCTCGTTTTCGCTTGCTCTGTCGCCAACGCAGTCTCGAGCTCGGCGATTCTCATTAGCAGTTCACTCTGCGCAACCATCATTTTCTCCATTTTTTCTTCGACCTCACTTTGCCTGCACTTCGCGTCAGCCTCTTCTCCATCCGCTTCTACACTTGGGCCCACTTTCAAACCCACTCCACATCCTGAACACTTTACAGCCTTTTTAACCTTGTCTTTCTGACACCAATTGTCCCTATACTCGATAATTACTAAACTCAAGCCCTGCCCAACGAAAAAAAAGAAAGTCTAAGCTATACTACAAAAATTTGCGTGTTCAATGTACGCGCACTTCCCCCACGGGGTAGCAAAAGAAAAAACAACAACAAAAAATTCAAACACACACACACGCACTAACTGATAAATACTTGGTGACTGGCCCCCGAAAAAGCCGTACTATAAAGTAAGTGCTACGAAGATTTCAACTGCTGCCTTATAATTATAAAGACAAGCTCTCAAAAAACACGTCCATCCACCGTGACAGTCCGAACCGAACTAGTCTCACAACTACTAGTCTCACAACTAGTGTCACAACTAGTCTCACAGCACTGCTCACTACGCCTAGCGCCATCTGTCAAGGGGCATGAAAGCCGCTCACAACCAGCTCCCATGAGCGCACGCTATTAATGTAGGAGGCTGGCGGCAGCAGCGATGGTGAGCGTTGAACATGCAACATGTTATAAAATGGACTGGCAAGCAGACAGAAGAATGCACGACTGCACGCTGTTGCTAAGGCAACGACAGAGAGACCTCCCACCCATGGCTGTGCCTTCCTTCAGTCATAGCGCCATCCGATAAACACGGTGTGAAGCAAGATACTGTCCCTTACAGACGAGCCGAGTCGCCGCACCTGTCTGATCTTACTACAGCGAATCTAATAGCGTTCAAGGCGATTGACATTGCAACTTGGTGCGAGATCTTCCACATGCTGTTTTAGTTTTGTGTATTCTTTAATATAGGGCGCATTTTCGAATGGCAAGAGTACTGCATCGGGCACTGTGGAGTATGTAGCGCCTGATGCACTCCAACTTACCCGTACGTGATTTGGGCGTGTTTACGAATAGGTAATTTGCGTGATTGGGTAATAGGCGCGATGGTATGACATGTTAAACTTTATTCAGATCCTGAAGGTCAATGCTTAGGTTGATGAAGGTGGCTCCTAAGTGGGGACAGTAAGGTGTAATTTTTTTTCTGAAAAAGTTTCCTTTAAACTTTCATCTATCATGTCAACCGTCACTGCTTTAATTACGTTGCAGAAGCCGAAGTGCACCGGAGCCGCTCATTAGCGTCTGTTGCGAGCGAAGCTGATCTGCCTCCTCCACCGCCATCCCCATCGTCTCCAAACGTCTTTGCGACCGGCCATGTAGTTATGCGCAAGGTATGTGCGCTGTGTCTCATGTGTTGTGCATGCTATCATTTTAAGTCATGCACTAAATACAAGGGCCTTGTGTACCAACTTGCCCGTTGCAATGTTCATGCCCCTCAACTAGTCGAAGCCGCAATGTACCGATAAGGGTAATGGGCAGAGAACGGTCGATCAATACATCTGACTTAAGCACAATTTCAGTGGTGTCATAAAGCTTTTTCATTCCATGACACATCACCATTAAACAAACCGATGGCGAGTTGACAGCCGGCCATTAACGTCCCACTGTGATTTATCGCCGACAACCTTATCGGTCATCTGCAGATATCAGTTTGGCTGTTCGTGTGGCGCAAACTGCGAATTGACTGATTGAGCAGCCATGCAGCCGTTCACAACTTCGCCACCGCCGCGTGCGAAACCGCTTGAAAGTGCGAGTCTCCTTTTAAAAAGTCCGGAGAGAGAGAGAGAGAGAGGAACGTAAACCTTCATTGAAAACGAAAAGAGAGAGTTTGGAGACCAAAGCATGACCTTGCTACAGGTATAGTTCACTGGCGTTTCGCGGCGCGGTCACCGAGAAACGTCGACGTATTGACAGGAAGTGTATAATGCTTGCTTTATAAAGCAACGATCAAAGCACGCTAGGCCTCGACGGGCAGTTCGGGCAGAGCGTTACGGTCACGTCGAGCGCGAGACCCATCATGGTGCCTAATGCACTCGGATGCTGACCCGCTGGCTGCGGGAGCGAATCCCAGCGGCGGCGGCCGCATTTTCGATGGAGGTGAAAATGCTTGAGGCCCACGTGCTTAGATTTATAGTGCAGGTTAAAGAACCCCAGGTGGTCGTAATTGCCGAACTACGGCGTCTCTGACAAGCATAGGTTGTTTGGGGACGTTAAGCCCCAAATGATATTACGTCGAGTGCACGCTGGTAGCAGAATTACTGACTTAACCACGATGAACTAGGAGGTTGCTCGACGCACCCGTGCACGGGCCGGAGAGAAGCAGGTGCGAAGAACGCACAAATGCACGCATGCAGCTAACGGCCCGACACCAAACGCTCGAGCAAACCAGGCGACATGCTGCACGCAACTAGCCAGAGATGATCGCCACCACGTGGCCGTACCGCGCTTCAGTGAAAGCGTCACTTTTATCTAGAGGTGGTTTCATGCGCTCATGAGCGCCCCTTGGACGTCGCTTCACGACGTGAGAAGGCTTAACTTGTCACCGGAGAAATTGTTCGCACTCTCAAATAGAAATTGTCATCCGATCCACGAAGTGCATGCTGATGCTCTTCGTGCGACAGCAAATTGGTTATGTCTGTAATGCGTTACTTTAAAAAGGTATGTTTCTACATCTGTTCCACTTTTTGAATTTGATTTGTGTGCCCCTCATTCAAAATAAGAATAAAACTTGTATCATTATTCCACTTCACCTGAGCAAACGTATGGGAGGAGGGACCATAGTCAGGCATAGATAATCCGCCTTTAGTCCCTTCAATCTAGGCCCTCTTTGTATTTGCCTGAATAAAAAGGGAATGCATGAATGAATGATGTAGCGAAGCTAGGCCCTAAAGTCCACAATGTCAACGTTGATTTCACCGACTAGTATAAAGTATGCCCGGGCGGGACGCATGCACGGATGCATGGACAGAAGTAGTATGGTCTATTTTAAAGCCATCGGCGCACTGTGAACGCTCAATTTGTGGTATATGTTACGTTTGTTTCTGTCCGATGAGGACGTATATGACGACGGCGACAACGGACATCGTGCTGAGGAGTTTAGCTCCTAAATTGCGCACAAAACCTAGTCAATAAGTGCCTATGTCTTAGGGCGAGCCCGTATACGAGCAACTACTGATATAACGACCGCTTTTCAAGGTGCTTTCAAGTTGTTTATAAGGGGATTTGACAATGTTTTCAATTTTCAGCAACGCCTCAGGGACCCAGCGAGAGCGGAGGCAGAGAAGTGCCACGAGGCGATGTTCGCAAACGTCCTGAAGGGCCTCGGCACGGTAAAACTAAACAAAGTCGAAAAGTGAGAACCAATCCTATCCTTCTGACAGCGTTCTCCCTCTTTATCTGTGTGTGTGTGGGGGGGGGGTGCGTGTGTGTGGGGGGGGGTGCGTGTGTGTGGGTGTGTGTGGGTGTGTGTGGGTGTGTGTGGGTGCATGGGCGTGCGTTTGGGTGCTTGCATGTGCGACTGCCTCATACGGTGCGACTAAACAGGTGAGCTCACCTCTTGAACTTCAGAATGCAGAAATCCCAGTTTCCTAAAATTAATTAGGACTCTGAAGCTGCGATCGCTCAGCGGCCTTGGGAATGATGGGTAGTACACCACTTCGCCTAGTCTTTGTGCTCGCGGATTTCGAACGAACTTGTAACATTGCGTATTGTTGTTTGGGTTTTGTTTTAATTAAAACAGTGGACCACTGTCCACTTCGTGGCCCGATTTAAGTTGGTGAGCCTGAAAGGGTAAGATGGCAAAGTGCAACTGTTGAACATTCGCTTATTTCTGGTTCGTGACAGAGCAACTCTATGCCACGCGAAGCTAAGCGGACTTGAACGTACGAAGATTAGACAGTCGTATACTACCCATCATTCCCGTGCTCACTGAAGCGCCGTGCGTTGTAGCTTCCATAGATACTAGCGACAGTTTCCTTTGGTGAATTCATAGACTTTGAGAGATCTGACAAACCCGCAGGTTGCGGTATCGAATCCCGGCTGCGGCGGCTGCATTTCCGATGGCGGCGGAAATGTCGTAGGCCTGTGTGCTCAGATTTGGCTGCACGTTAAAGAACCCCAGGAGGTAGAAATTTCCGCAGCCCCCCACTACGGCGTCTCTCATAATCATATGGTGGTTTTGGGACGTTAAACACCACAAATCAATCAATGAGAGATCCGACAAAATCAGTTGGAGTTGTGGTATAGGCCACAACAGGCGTGTTGAAGTGAAGGCGCACAGAGAGTGAATCTTGGTGTAAATATTGTGCAAGCGTTTGCGATGTCCTTGAGCTTCACGGGTATGTTTTTGACGCAATAGCGTTAGAGTGCTCGTGTTTCAGAAATTCCGTCATCGGCATCGACACCGTTGGTTGTGAGCGAAAAATCGTCCGTGAGCGAAAAATCGAGAAAAAGTAAAATTTTTGGTCCCATTGAAGATCGAACCCGGGCCGTTCGCATGGCAAGCACATGTCCTACCATAAAGCCACAATGTTACTTGCAGCTGCTCTGGGAAAAAACACTACATAAATGCCATGTAGTGGAAGGAGCCTCCTTAACGCATTTTGTTCGACAGGTGTCACGACGAAAACAAGCTCATTCGGCGATTCATAGGCGCATTTGGGAGGCCATCAAACTACGTCGAAAAAAGCTGGGATAGTGCAGCCATCGCTGCTAAAAACACACAGGAACTTTCAAACAACTCTAAAAATGGACAACTTTGGCCATCTAGCGGAAAACATATCATGCTTTTCGAGAGGCATTGATCAAGGAAACGGCAAACTATAGATAATGTGCTGCAATCTGTAAGGCATTTCGAGAATATTTATGGACTCTTTAGATAGCGAGTGCGCGTATCTTGAAGGCCATGCGACTCTTGATTTAGACCAAAAACTTCTGTTTCATTCGCGTGCGCGTGAGTGTGTGCGTGCGTGTGTGTGTGTGTCATCTGTGAGACTGTGAAAAACGTGTCTCGACTACAGTAGAGCGCCGTTCTATCAGAGGGAAATGGCCACACAGCACATTCACTGCATTGCGCGTGTTGTGCGTGCGTGTGCGTGTGCGCGTGTGTGTGCGTGTGTGCGTGTGTGCGTGCGTTTGTGCGTGTGCGTGTGTGCGTGTGTGTGCGCGCGCAAGAAAGCGTATTAATAAGTATGCACTCAGCGGTTGAAGGCCGCCCTAGGGTCCGGAGTATGCTATAGCGTGAAACTCTTAAAGGCGAACCTTAATGGCCCCCAAATTTTTTTGCACCAATAATACATCACTGACGTTTAGGGCTTGGGCAAGTCTATCAGGCACTGAGACTTCATTTTGTGTTACAGAGAGGATGCATGGAGGAAAGTTCGACTATACAAAATTTATTGCAATGCATAGATAGTCAGAAATAAGCAACTGCTTAAATATTGAAAGTATCGGGAAAGCAACCAGCCAGAGCGTACTGCATCAATTCATTGCCATGTTCTTGAAGAATACGTAAGTCCAATACTTGCCTTGCCTAAGACCTATCTAACAACTACGGTTGTCTTCGTTTGAGACTTGGCTGAGAATGTTACCACTGCTCAAGACTAGTCATACCTTGTGGCCATTACTGAGCACTACCATGTGCACGTGACGTTTTTTTTTTACCTGAGAAATGAATAGCAATTGATCGTTCGTACGTCGCAATATGTAGCAAACGAGTTTTATGCCGCCATGCGGACCGCGGTTGAAGCTTTTCATCTTCAAGAGCTTCCACTATGTTTGAGCTTTGTGACATAGAGCGCGCCTTTCCCAATTCGACTACGAAGCCACCGAGTTCCGCTTCCGCTGTGGACGAAACCGTGGTTGCTAAAGCACAATCGAGAGTCCACGCAGTTCTGAAGACACGCACGTGTCTTACTTCCGGATTCGGAACTCCTCAGCACATCGTCTACTGCTGAATAAACCTTGCTCACTAATTCAGTCAGCTGATTACGCAGTTCTGAAGGCACGCGATGGACATGGCGCGACTGCTTGTCATAGTTTTGACGCCAGTCGCTAATGCGATTATGGTCAGAGTCATGGTAATGTGATCATGGTAATGCGATCATGGTCAGACGCAGTTTGCGAGTGAAGCGTGAATTTAAAATGAAACGAGTCTGCCGCTATCACAGTGAAGTGATCACCCGCAGGAGCTCGGTTGTTGTAAAATTGCTGATGGCGATCATACCTTTCTCACGAGCGCCATTTCTCTTTTGCGTCCCTCATTTGTGCCCTTAAGCGCTTGGCACAGTGAGAGGATCGTCCCAGTTAACTGAGTTGCAGCCAAAATGACGACTTTAACAAGGATTTGACGTCATAAAAGAATAAATGTGCTTGCCGGGACCAATAAAAATATCCCAAAGCATCATGTTTTCAAATTTAAGAGGGTCCCACATACATGATCGACACAAGTAGTGTCATCAGTATTGTTGTCACCCCCAAGTTATAATTAATCACTATATATATGAACAATCGCCAGCATCGGGACGATACCTTTCATGAGGGTCGCAATACCGCGCGCTTTTCTTTTCCGATTTTTACACCACGCTTCGGTCTGTGCATATTCTTGCGCTGTTAAGCCAGGAAAATTGTTTGGCCATACTCGATGCATTTCGCAGATCCGCAAGTGGTACCCCTTTGCGCAAGAGTCGGGAATCGGACTTGTCCACTGTCACGGAACCGGCTGGAACGCTTGCTGAGGTGCTCAAGAAGCGCTTTGTGTTCATTCACCCTACAGACAGCTCGGACGACTCGGCCACAGAGCCATGGAGTCCCTCCACGCCTCAGGTACGAGTTAAGCGCAGGGCTGGAGTGGGAACGATTTCCGCCACTCTTAATTATTGAACTGAGCAAATCTGTCACAGTGTCCAGTATACCGCATGTTTAAATATAGCGCACTTTCTCACGGAGATAAGAAAGACGCAACACTCGCCTCACTTACTACACTAAATTTATTTCAGAAAACATGCTTTATATATGTGCATCCCCCCCTCACAGCGACACAGAAATTAAGTCAGTAAAAACTTATCGGATATTAAATTTTGCACACTTAACGATAAAAAAAAAATTGTGGCGCTAAACCGATCAAAACGGAGCATGTGCCGCCTATACATTTCAAACAACGTAAACCTAAACAGATGACATTTCAGGGTAGACGTTTGAGTAGAACTTTTACGCGCTAAAAATGGAAGTCGGCAACAAGAACCAGCGTAACAAAAGCTATACTACACACTTCAATTGAAACCCTTCCTGGAAGATAGCTTCAGAATGAGCTAATGAAACCGATGATTGACTAACCCGGCAGTCTTTTTTTTTTCTGTTAATGTGATAGATTCAACTATTTCTTTGGTTAGTTCGTTTCCGTGATGAAAAAATCACTGTGGTGGCATTGAATAGTGGCAAGCAGCCGCACTTAAAACAGCGTTGCTTTAGGTGTGAATAAATGTTTGTTTCCAAAGGTCTCTTATATTCCGACAGCCTGGTGTTCACAATCAACCGGTGTGGTCGCTCTATACTTTCCCACACTTTAGAGGTAAACAATATACAATGAATAGTTTGCATCTAACAATTCTTTTATTGTTTTTGATTGCATTTGTTCAGGGACAGAGACATTGAATGTCAACGGATGTGAACCTCTTAAGATGGTTGTGACATTATGAGTCGCCAACTTTCAAAATGGTGTATGACGGCGCCTTAGGTAGTGGTGCAGTGTGCTGCAGTAGACACACAGCCGATTTTCCGAACAGGTGGATGACTGTGCCACTTTATTGCGCATTTATTTCTGCCCAGCCAACATATCCAGATAGGCAGAGTGCACAGATAAGTTGTTATAGATGTCAATAGCATAGGTCGGCAAAAAATTATATATAGCTCACGGGGCTCGCTCAAAATAAATATTTTGCTGTGAGGACTCACTCAAACTCCCAGAAAATTTTCTCATCTGAACTCACTCCCTTACCAAACAGTTTTTTTTTCAACTGGACTTCACCAGCATATTTATTACACAGCCGCATTTAATCACTCTCGGCTTCATCTGAGTATGAGTGAGTCAACTAACGAGTCCATTGGCGTAAAATTCACTTCTTCGATTATGGTGTAAATGTTCTTTGACGCCAGCATCTCGAACATTGGTGCTCTACGAAACGCCTTTCGATTTTGTACGTTCAAACACGTGTTATCGGCGGTTGCAATTCAATAAAGACATCTTACCGTGAAAGCCGTCACGAGATCACAACAAAGGTCACGTTTCTCCGTCACCACGGTATTCCGTAACCACTATCGCGCCAAATTAAAGAAATACGTAAAGATACCAAAGACACAATGCAATTCGAACCTGGCCCCCCCTGCGTGCTAGCGCAGTATTCCAGTAGACATGATAGTTATAGCGCGAGAACAGAACGATGACAAATAGACAAGAAGGACTCTTTGTCGTCGTTCTGTTCTCGCGCTATAACAATCGTCATGTCATACCAACTAGCCCAAACTGCCACACATCTACCAGAGAGCCGTGCCGGCGCTTGAAACTTTTGTTGCAAACTGGCCTTAGGAAGGTTTGATAACGGGGAAAAATTACGTTACTTTTAGTAATAAAGCATCTTCGAACCGCAAAGTAACAACCAGTCGTTACACATTGAGAATCGCGTAGCGAGTGGGCCACAGAATACCCCAACCCATTACAAGAGCTTCATGCACAATTTTTCACCGCTGCCAGCTACAGCATCAAAAAAAAAATTGCACAAAATTCTTGTGAGTGTGTAGCGGTATACCACATTTATCCGAAGAATGATGGATGGCATAGTGAATGCCCCCCCCTCCCTTCAATACAAAAATTATGATTATTAATGGCGCTGCGAGTACCCTCCAAGTGTGCTTGTAGCACTTACCCAAATAGTTTTTAAGGAAGGTTCTGAAAGGCGATAATTCCAGCTTTTGATGCGACTATGCTGTGCGTTCTGCGCAGGCCTGGTGTATTTACCAAATACTTCCCATAAAAGTGTTCGTGAGAGGGAGGCTGTGACACCCCTTCCTTAGGAGCAGGCGAACGCCTGAATCACTTCGTTGCGTTTCTGAGATGTCTATGCATATCAACATGGACAAATAACATAGATAAGTCATCAGTGATGTTAGTGGTACTACTAACGCCCGTCACTTTACAACATAGTCTACGAATACACCACAGTATGTTCAGTGTAAGCAACGAGGTAGGTAGTAAAGTGTCCATAGCAAGTGTCGGTTCACATCTGTAAAATATGTGCGTTACAGCTGGGGTATCTTGGTGGGATGAACTACTGCCGAAGGTAACCTTAGAGTAGGGTTCTCATCATGGTGGCTCCTATAGCAATAAGCGAATTTCGTTGTCTGCGGCATTTACTCCTGAGAGACAGATGTAAACAAGCATTCACCAATGGACGCGTAGCGCAGACGGACGCCATGAGCCAGACTGCTAGTGAGCACACCTTATTCCTTCCGTTAGAGGTGACCGGTTGCCGGGGATTTTCCGGACCTCTTAACTTGCCTAAGGCTTGGAAGCATACCTTGCAAGCATATCAATGAATCAATTAAAGAACTTTTTATCCGTTAGCAATAAACATATATATGGATATGCAGAAGGTCTCGTAGTATTGCCGGAAGAGGTATACCTTGTGTGGGGGATACCAGTGTACAATTCCAACCATTTAGCGGCTGGTTATATTTTGCTGAGTACAGTGTTCCGGCACGTCATGGATTTCTCTGGATAGAATTGGTGGGCTTTTGCTATTAAATGACCAGTCCAAAAAGCGACGTACATGCGGATAGGATTATTGACAAGGAAACTGTTTGAATCTGTCACACAACTAATTTAATCCAATGCATTCAGCAAATATGTTCAGCAAATACTCAGCAAAACTCAGAAAATAAGAACACAAGTTACACACCGTACTAAGAGGCTATGTTATGCTACGTATCATGAACGGGTCAGTGTACAGTAGTTTATTTTGGGTCTGCTTAAAGGCCGTGATGCCCACTCGTGCCCATCGAGGTGGGGACGGCATCTTGACCCGGAGTGCGCTTTTCACATCTTCGCAGGCAAATGAAAAGACGTGGCTCTCCACTCTCAAGGAGATGTCCAGTGACGTGACCAAGCTCTCGCCAAAGCAAGGAGGCGTGTGAAACCAAGAGCTTTCAGGTGTCTAGTTGACAGATTCAGCTGCATCCTTGGCTATTGTTTCTATTTAAAATTTTAATACTTTACATCTTACATTTTATACTTTATATTTTAAATGTACATGGTGCCTCAGCTATTTCTAGCCAGAGTTAAAAAATATGCTGATGCACGCAATTACAACGCGACCACATGCATGTTGTGGTCCGTTGTCTGAAGTTAGCCACACTATATTTGTGTTCTAAAATATTGTTTAATTACATCTAAATAATTACCCGTTTTTGAAGGAACGAAGATGGATAAAGTTCAATAAGAAGGTTGTAGATTGGTTTGCGAAACGTCCGACTAGATAGTTCTGAGCTTTATATCTGTTAATTATTAGCGGTTTACTGCTAACTACAAATGCCCGCGTAATTCAAAAAATACCACGTGACAAACCCACTGGCGTGCCTACGTGCGCCGTGATTCTGGTGCTCTCTAACGTTCCACGTGCGAACAACATGCTTCCCTCGTACCAGTTCGAAACAGCCATAACCAGTCGCAGCAGATATCGCTTTTGTGGCCCATAGCAAAACGGGTCTTCGCAAAACCACCACCATCATTGCGGCCCTGTCAAGATAGCACAATGGGGCAAATGCTATGGTCGTTCGTTCGCTGAACATTAGGGAGCTCTATACAATCATCTTTCGCACTGGCGCGAGAGGGGGTTCGTCACGTGGTATTTTTTTTGTATTTCGCGGGCATTAGCAGTTAGCAAAAAAAAACACTAATAATTAACAGATATAAAGTTCAGAACTGTCTAATCAAACGTTTTGCAAACCGATCTACTACGTTTTCATTGAAACTTTTTATCCATCTTTGTTTCTTAAAAAGTTAGTCAATATACATGTATAATTAAACAATATTTTAGAACACGAAAAAGAGTCTGACTAACTTAAAGCAGCGGTTAGCAACATGCCTTTGGTCGCGTCGTAATTGCGTGTGTCGGCATATTTTTAAACCCTGGCTAAAGATAGCTGGGCCACCCTGTATACTTAGATTTAGGCGCACGTTAAAGAACTCAAGAAGGTCAGAATTTCCTGAGCCCTCCACTACGCAGTCTCGAAATATTATGGGGTTTTTGAGATATTGAACGTCAGATAATGTTGCACCTGGCTTTTTTTTATATTGTAGACCACATATTTCTGTCCGCGACTTTCTTCTCAGCGCAGTCGCAACTGTTCACTCTTCCGTACAAATTGTCTTTTTAACTGTTTCCACACATGCCTATATCATTTCATATCAATAAAATTTTGTGCACGTCTGCGTTTGTCAGCTTTTCATCCCCATATTTTGTTTTTGCGATGTTTATGATCGCACACCTGCATTCATCTACAGTGGAGATTAGATATTCGACTAATTGTCTGTTGTTTCTCAGTATTTGATATGGCTGCCACTCGGAAATATTAACTGCTCAGAATTTGCCATCAGGGAGGAAATCATTGTGAAAATCAGTGCAATTTGACTGAGCGCCAGCTACCGTACAGTGAGCGCTCTTGGTGGCTATAATATACTGCAAAACGTCTGAAGAGTCATTTTTGCAAGTGCGAAAAAAATTGTCATCGTACCCCAAGTTATCTCGAAAATATGAAATTCATGTTTGAATTTCAGTAACTTTAATCTCGATATATTCAAACGGTACTTATTGACGTTTTTGACGAGATTTATGCTTTTCCTCATTTAAGTATGCTGCAGGTAAACAGAGGAGCAAGCGTGTTCTGTGGGCTTTAATTGCTCGTTTCTTAATTTTTGTCGTCACGCCCACGGTCACTTGTAATTTTTTCTTGTGCGAAAGGGAGTTGTCAAAAAAAATGTTCCTCTCAATTTTTTTCATTCACTTATGTATTTATTTATTTATTTCATACATCGCTCAAGACTCGAGCACTGCACAATAGGTCTGCAGAAGTATGGGTCTGCAGAAAGAAACCTCTGTATGGGTTTGCAGAAGACCTACAGTATTGGTAAATAAATAAATAATCCGTCCCAAGCTTCAGTCTTTTCTCCTCGGAAAACTCCGAGATCCGCGAGCTCACTGCTAAGCAGTGCCACTTCATACGTTTTTCGTGCTAGTGGCCGTTTATCCATCCTAACGCGTCACACGTCGTCACTGAATGAGTCAGCCAGGACTCCGTCAGTGACGCCACAGAAGAAGTCAACTGGAGCCTGTGGCGATGGCTCTTATGAACAGGGACTGTCCGTTCCCGCATGATCCGGTGAAGTTGTCGATGTCGTGTACAGCCACCGGTGCCATGGCCATCTGGAGGAAGTACGTAAGGTTGATGCGCGAACCTTATAGTTTGCAGAAGGCATCAATGCATACACTAGCTGTTGTAGATACCGATACTTCCGTTTCTGTTTTAGACGCCAAACTTCGATGTGTGCGGTTTACCTACCTAAAACCACCGCAAGAATATGAGAGACGCCATATTGGAGGACTCCGTTAATTTTGACCACGCGGAGTTTTTGAGCGTGCACCCAAATCTGAGCACGAGAGCCTAGAGCATTTCCGCCTCCGTGTAAAATACAGCGACCACAGCCAGGATTTGACCCCGCGAGCTTGACGCTAAACTTTGTCGCAAGTTTTCAAAAGTGACCATGCGTTTTGGTGGGATGTCCCTTCATGTAGCGAAAGGAGAACCTTTTCGGCCTGTAGCCACCTGCGCTGCCTGACTGATCGTCGCGAAGGACCACTACATGGTTGAGTTCAACGTCCTATCATCTCGCTCGCCCGACATTACGACGTTCTATTCGGCTGTATGGGATTTCTTTAAATCTTGTAATCATGCCGTTAGTGACTTGCTAATTCTGACCTCAAACTCTTCTCGTTGTACGACTAATCATAGAGCGCTACTCAGCAAGCCGCACACAAACTGGGGTGTGTTTCAATACTCACCATAGACGGCTAAGCGGACGGCGGCCATCATAAGTCCGATTCCTATTCTCACGCAGCCGGCAAATAGACCGCTTCGAGAAGGTTGCATCGTAGACAAATTCGATGCAGGCTACTTTGCTGTCCAAACAAGATTGTGGCTGAGCAATATGCTCGGATAGCTCAGATTTCGCCGGAATAGTCATCTGCACACAAACGCCAATTAAGACACTCAATGTAATAGAAGTTAAATTTTTCTAGAATTTTAACTCGAAATAAGCTAAAAAGTCAACAGTTACGTTTGTTTATTTTAGCTTTCTCTTCTCGACGTGAGGTAGAGCCTCGTCACGTAGAAACCGTCCAGACGTGTTCCATTTCTCGGAGAACATGGGCTCGGCGCTGCCTTGTAAGCTGTCTGCGTAGACAGTCTACGATGCTGTCTTAGAATTGGAACACAGCCCTGGTCGTCAAAAAAGACACTGTAATTCCCCATACTGCAGCTGTTTTGCTCCCCGTGCCCTGCGCCACCATTTGTGATGAGGCTGCATTCTTTGAACCATAAAGTCTCTTCCTAAGCCGCGAACAACTCATGCCTTATTGAACCCTCGTCATTACTACTGGAAACACTGCAGCGCTTACTACCTCATCAACCTCCATCTGTATCCCATCCAACTTTTGAAAGGTGAATGTCTTTGATGCATGCATGCCCGTGACAGTGGACAAACTTTTATTATGAAGCAAGATTCATGTGGCCGTGACCCCGATGAAATCCGTGCCCTCGAAATTTCTAATGTGCCACATTCCCAACTCTTCAACTCGTTCGTGGCAGACGGATTGTCACCATTTCAGCGCTCTGATTTTCGCCAGCTGCTGTAGATATTTCGCGAACCTTTTGATGTTGCACAACTTGCGATTGGCTCTACTTTTACCATTATTCACTGCATCGACACAGGCACCCTTGTGCGACCGCCACCCAACATCAAGTTATTACTAAAATAAAGTTCATGACAGGCTTAAGTTAGGACACCACCTTCAAAATTTAATTGACTGAGAATAAGCAGTTTTTAAAATTAATATTGTTACATTTCCTGCTCATTCTAGAATATTTATCAGAAAGAATTATTTTGATAGCTCAAGTGGTTAAAAATTTCTGGTGGTTTTTCTAACCCCTCCTAAATGCGTCCGAAACTGAAGGTTTCTGATACCAGGGCGTCTGATACCTCGTCATAAATAACTCTCAGAATGCATATTATGTAATTTTTGTATAGTTTAGTTTATTATAAAGCTTTCGTAAGCCTTTTGAGGTACGTTTTTCCCTCAAAAGGCCTACTTGCCTTTTGAGGCAAAAATGTATATGCAAGCCTGCCTATTGTTTTGTTTGGATTGTGTGATGCTATAGCACAGTTCAATGGCAGAAATAGGAGCATACTGGACATTTTGAACCCGGTCACGACACGACGATGGCGAGTCAGACCAGTGGCTGCTGCCGTGTGAGGAAGGCCGCGCGCAACGCAGGCGGAGGTGCAAAGCAGGCAATAAAAAAAAATACGGGCACCAGCTCGTTCAAAAGGAGGCCGTGCCGCTTTCAAGGAGGACCCAAGCAATGAGCCTGATGAATTTCAGGCATTTCTGATGTTTTTTATTACGCAAACATTCAATTAAAGTCTCTAAATCCTTTTTTCTCAAAACATGTTTTTTTTTACTTTGTGCAGTTGCGCGAACAGTGATAACTCACGGCGTAATAAATATTTTCGCGTAAAGCTTCCTGTGCTGTTTAGTTGTACCTATAGCTGTGCATTCAAGCTGAATTAATGAAAACGAGTAATAAGTTTTGTGCTATGTCCAAGTGCGTAAAAAATACCCCTGCCGGATATTGTTTTTATTAGTTTTTTTGTGACAACGCACCTCGGCTTTGAGATAAGGCGATAATGGTGCTTAGGTGCACAGGCTGTTGTCCTCACTACATACCTGTCAAGTCATATTTGAATCACACTGACCATTTTTATTTATGACTGTTGGCGCAACACGCTCATTTCGACACATTTTGATTTTTATAAAAAAGGCTTTTCATTTTCTGCAATTTTCTGATTTTAAACATTCAAAATTACTGAGCCTTACAGAACAAAAGTGCAGTTGTAACTTTCAGACCATAACTGTGAAAATTTTTATTGAAGGTGGTCACCTACTTTAAACGCAACGTTATAAGACTTTCAAAAAGTGCATGCACCTCACCTGTACTTTTAGTCCGATTTGCTAATGCGTGGATTACCGGCGCTTCAACAAGGTCACTCCGAAAGACGTTCGCCCTCTGTCAAGGATTGACGACGCCCTTTATTATTTACAAGCTGCCGGTTATGTTTCAATGTTATATTTGCGTTCTGGGTATTGGCAGGTACCCTTGGTAGCGGTCCATTGTGTAAAGACAGCCTTCTTAGGACCACACGGTCTATATATTCAATGTCACCGCATATCTTTGAGCGTACTTTTGAGCGTATATGATGGACTCAGTTCTGTGCGACCTGAAATGAAACATCTCTCTCTGTGACCTCGACTATATCGCTGTCTTTGCGCCGAATTTCACTACATGTTCATTTCACTACAGTTTCACTACACTATAATATATGTATACGTCCGAAACGTCTCCTGGCATGTGTAGAATGCCGCTTCGATGCGCGGAAACTTACAGTTATCGGCCATGTCATATGAAAGGAACGTATACTTCTTGACCCAGCTAAACAAGCGCGCTGTCACTGACGACTTTAAAGGCACGTTCACACTTGAGAAGTGAAGAGAAACGAAAACGCCTGAGCAGCCGGAAAAATACGACCACGCGCGTTGAAAATGTTCACATTCGTTCTTCCCCATCCTGCCACCGCTGCCGTCGGTACCTTGACAATAATTCAACTTCGCCTGCTTTCCGAGAACTGAAGTTAGTACCGAATTCTAGTTATTCACGTAAACTACCGAACAGAACCAGCTCGCACCTTCTAAAACGTTGTTTTGGGAGATACGTCGGCAGAAACGACACGTGCGAATGCACCGGCAGCAGCGGCGGCGGTTTCAACCGGCTGTGCACAAAAGCGAGACACGTTGGGACATACCGACTCACTGCTGTAGCACCGTCTACTTCCAGAGTTTTCGGCGATCGCAATTCATACCAAGCATTCGATGAACGCATCCTTGTTGAGGCCGTCAAGCTTCGTCGTGCTGCATAGGTAGTTAGCGATTTGAGCCGAAGCAAACCGACGCCTTTGCCGCCATGTTGAATCTCTGGCCGGCACGTTCGATCACGTGGTTTGATCTAGCGCAGCCAAAGCCGGGAAACGGATACCGGATCTGCTTTCGCGAGGCGGGAAAATTGGTCTCGGGACCGATTCTTGCGCGTCACAAGCGCGGCGTGATTTTCTGGCCACGTGGGCGGCGAAACGAGTCGGTTTCCGGAGAGTTTCGCCACTTTCACTCTCTTCGAGGCCAAGTGTGAACGCGCCCTCGGGGTGCGTTCACACTTGGCCTCAAAAAGAGCGAAAGCATAGTAGAAGGCTCTGGAAATTTCGCCCACCAGGGGTTCTTTAACGTGCAGCCAAATATGAGGCCACGTGCCTACATCATTTTAGCATCCATCGAAAATGCAGCCGCTGCAGCCGGGATTTGATATCGCGACCTGGGAGTCAGCAGCCGAGTACCTTAGCCACTAGACCGCCGCAGCGGGGCGTTTTCTCCACATAGACGAAGAGCAATCACAACACCCGGTTCTTCGAAACCTTATGGACCGCATAAGCTAAGCTCCCACTGACCCCTCTCTCCGCATGGTCACGTTGCCTAATGTCCACGATCATGAGCTGCGACTGGCTGTGGTCCTGGGACTTCACGGCGCTCCTACTGTGGGACATATGGGCATCACTGTACTTACGACTACCTAGGGTGTCGCTTCTTCTAGCCTGGTTTTTTTAGCTCTGTATCACTATGTCGCTTCTTTTTATCTGTGTCAGCGACCGAAGACGCTTCTCGTGCCTTCTGCTGGTTTGCTTAAGACAAAGTAAGTCCTCACAGAGGCGTGCTTTGGGGCCGGCTTTGACCTACTTGGCCCATTTCCTACTTATGGCACAGGTAAAAAGTGTATTGCCGTCGTAACAGATTACGGAACAAGATATACGTCATTTCGAAAGCAATACTGTCGAGATGCTGCCAACTTCATACTCCACGACGTCATCCTGCACTATGGAGGCCCTCGACAGCTGCAACGGATCGTGGCCGTTACGTTTTGTCGAAGATTATCGCTGACTTGCTCCACCTCAGTTCTACTGAACACGGCACGCAACGTGTCGAAGTAGACCATTCATAACCTTATCAATAAAAGATTTCGTGTACTTGAATTCGTCGGCACGTGATGTTCCGGAGTGATCCCTTGATTTCTTGTAAC